CCCTATATGCAACACTGCCCCTATTTGAACACCTCTATATGCAACACTGCCCCTATATGAACACCCCTATATGCAGCACTGCCCCAATATGAACACCCCTATATGCAGCACTGATCCTATTTGAACACCCCTATATGCAACACTGCCCCTATTTGAACACCTCTATATGCAACACTGCCCCTATTTGAACACCTCTATATGCAACACTGTCCCTATCTGAATACCCCTATATGCAACACTGCCCCTATATAAACACCCCTATATGCAACACTGTCCCTATCTGAATACCCATATGTGCAACACTGCCCCTATTTGAAACATGTTGAATCATAAAAATGCAGATTTTAATAGCATTTTTTAAATCTTAACAGCTTTTATACAATATGAGGACGCTGAAAAGGGCTTGTAAAATGTGTTTTCTACCTAAATTGTCCTGAGTATTTGAGCAGYTTGTACTACAAAATGGCTTGGGATCTACATGTGATGTATAAAAACATGACGCTTAAAAAACATACAAAAGAGAAACTACAAAGTACAAGTATTAGTATGATTACACAGTACAGTAGACCTCATATGGCTTCCACCTCAACCAATCAGAATACAAAAAAGTATAAATAATCCAATCGTGTGAAAGCCTTTTAAGTTGCTTCAAAAGTTGCTTCGTATGCCTCTATGAATGAAATCTTTGTCCCATGGCAGAGGTCCAGAAGAACAAAAACTGTTGCCCAAACAAAACTTAACAAAAACAATAAATAACTTGAAAACTAAAAAAGCATAATGCGCATGCAGTAAAATTTCTTAGCTTCATGGATGTGTTATGGATAATATATAAAAGGCTTTTGCCCCTGCAGATTTATCAAAATACAACTGTCTTTCATAGCAGATATTTTCGAATAAAAAAGGAACCCAACCTTTAAGGTGGAGAGGCAAACTACAATATGCTCTATAGCACGATTAAAAGAACATGCTTCTTAAGCTYGTATGGGTGAATAAGAGCCTGCTGAGAAAATGCTGGTTTATTTTTCCCTTTGCATGATAAGGAAAGAGCATCTCTTATCAAGTGTTCTTTTAGTACCCAAGAATCTAAAACGCAATATCATAGTGTGACTAAAAAAGAACACTCTCCTCCCCCTTAAAATCTAAAAAAAAGATTAGTATGAACTAACTGTGAAAACATTGCTTTAGCTTTCCCTGGTACTTGATAATGAAAGTGCATCTCTCGTGTTCTTTAAGGGCTCATAAAGCATCTACCAGGTTTCATATAGTCTCCATACCCATTGCCTTTAAAAAACTAAAAAGGGATTAGTATGAAGTGCGAAAATGTAGATTTAGTTTTCCCCGGTGCGTGATAATGAAAGTGCATCTCTCATCATGTGTTCTTTAAGGGCCCATAAAGCATCTACAGGGTTCTCATAATCTCCATACCCATTCCCTAACCAATGTACAGGAAGTTGCGCTATCTGCTGCGGTGTCATTGTACTTGCGTCTGGTTTGCGGGCTTGATTCCAGTTGCTCATGTGAGGATTACCATCCCGCAGTCCCTCAATGTATCTACGAGGATGAATAAACATGGTTAGTAATGTCCCACAACTCTATAATATATTATTGCTTCAAAGAATAGATTGAAGTAGTACATAGTGCATATCTAATTACAATTACTTATTATATTTTCCACACACCTGAGATAAGCTTCTGAGTGATGAAGACGTTGAGGCTTTGCTGGAGGAGCTACGAATACAGGAACAGGCTGGAACAAAGAAAATAATTCAAATGCTGTATATTGATGATGCTATGAAAACATGATTGAAAGGCACCTATGACAATGTTACTGGCAGTTGTTATTTTATCTCGTTGTAGGAAGAGAGATGGAGGGAAAAAAGGGAAAGAAGAAAAAGGGAGAAGCAGAAAGAATAAAAAAAATGGGAGAAAAAAAGGAGAAATGGGGAAGGGAAATATGTTTTAATACCAACTTTATTTTATGAGGGTTAAGAAAAACATGTAACAGTTGAACCTGATAAACTTGTGGGAATGGATGAAGGTCAAATAAAACTTTAGTTTTGTCATACTCCAGAACTTAAGAAATAACACTTCAACTTACCACCTCATGCGGCACTGATGGCTGCAGCACAGGGGTCTGGTGCTGAGTAGTAGGCTGAGGCTGAGCTTGTTGTTGATGTTGGTTTGTAACAGGCTGGGTCTGGAATTGACTCATTTGGTTCATTTGTGCTAATGGGTTTATCTGGGATACCTGTGGTTGACCTGGGGTCATCTGACTCATTTGATTTAAGGGGTTCATCTGTTGCTGGAAGTTGAATTGCTGGTTTTGGTTGTACTGCTGTTGGTAGCCAGGGGATTGACCTGATCAAGTAATGTGAAGTTTTAATAAAGAAGTTAGTAAATTGTTAAATCTTATTTCGAATATGAAACTACATCCTCCTCCCCCATACCCACCCATCAACATTATTGACCATTTATGATGCCATTGAAAAGTATACCTTTAATAGACCCCTTGCCAAAATGGTGGCCACAAATTTGTTTGAGTTGAAATTAAACTGAGTGAAAAAACAATACCAGCATTGGAAAGAGCACCTTTTTTAGTAACCCTACAAAGATTCATTTGTATGTCCGGGGGTATAGCGTATACCCCTGGACATACAAATGTCTGTAAATTTGTCAATTTTCAACTTAAGTTTTCGTGGCCGATATGACACCTGACATAATGAATCATTTTTTGGCAAGGGGTCTATTGCAACAAATACCTTCTGAACAAGTCAGTATTACAAAAAAATAGAAAAAATGCTTTGCATTACATCACATGAATAGCCTGCATTATTTAATTTCACACTTCTCACTTCAACAATTGATGATTTGCAATCATTCTCAAGAGTCAAGAGAAAAAGACATGGCAGCCATGTTGGTAGTATTAACAAAAGTAGGCTATTGAGAAGTCTGTTGTTAAATGCCACCGACATGGCAGCAATGACGGTACAAGCAAACAAAGAATGCACCAACATAAGATACAAGAGTAAAGCACAAATTTAAGGACCAACATTGTCTGGCCCCTAAGCTTGCAATGTAGTGTGAACCAGGCAGACTGACATTGATTAAAAAGCCAGGGGAAAAACGATAAAGGCAAAAATGTTTAATCAATGTCTTGGTTCTGATATCACAGGCAGCCCATTGCTTCATAACTATCATGGTAACAAGAGAGTTAAAATACCTTGCTGCTGTGCCATTGGTTGGTTAGCCAAGTTCATGTTCATCCCGACGCTGCCACCCATTGGCATCTGTCTTTGTATCATGGAGGTATTTTGTTGCATAGCTTGTTGGTTGAATGGACTGGATGTGTTATTGGTACCACTGTACATAGCTGGTGATACAAATAACCACACTGATATCAGAATCATGCAGAGTCTTGCTGAATGTTTTTTGATGACTCTTTGAGGGTTGAAACCTACTATGCTGACATAGTAGGACATTGCAAGCATCTACTATTAAAGTGTTATTTTCATTTTTTATTCTGTAAGCCGAGATACAAAAAGTGGTCTAGAGCCATAAACCTTAATACTAGCATAAACCTTAATGTAGCCTGTATGAAAATAGCTGACACCGTAGCCTGTATGAAAATAAGGCTATGGTGTTAGCTATTATACAGTGCAATAGTGGCATACCCGAATATTGAAAATGTGATGATGCTAACTGTGGGAAATAACAGGATATATCAAAGAGCCATAATCCTAAACCTAAGGGTCAACCATGCAGACTTGAGGGACATTCACAACAAGACCAGCCTACCTTGCTGCATGGCTTGTGGGGTTATCCGTCCTGTCATGTATTGATTAGGTGCTGGCATGCCTTGCGAAGAACCCTGGTTCAAACCCATAGTGGATCCACCCAACCCTCCTGAYGGCATCCCCATGGAAACAGGAGTAGAGGGGGTGGAGATTCTTGGTGGAGGTGGGGACGGGTTGGCCTCTGGTTCAAGAAGAGCAGCCTGGTGTCTTGGGAAGTAGTTCCTGATAAAATAAGAGTTAATGTTATTATTAATATCAGTCTTGTTTTGTCACAGAAAAGCAAGAGGGAACAAAGAAAGAAAAGAAAAAGCAGTGACAAGAAGCACCATCAATATCAACAGCATCAAAATTAATGACAAGAGCAAAAATAAAAAGAGAAACTGCAACAACAAGCCTCAACGACAGCAGAACCAGCAACACCAACAATAACAAAGGCAACAAAAAACAAAAGCAGATGAAGAAACACCCCAACAGCAGCACAATCAGCAACAAGAAAATGGAACAACAATATTGACAGCATCAACAACAGCAGCATCAACAATATCAACAACACAGAAATCAAGGTGCAGCAGCAACGATGATAACATCTGATACTAATGTTATCAATGACAACAACTTTAACAGAAAGGGATCCCATTAAAATCTGAGAAAGGTTAACTTACTTGCTGCGATCTTGAGGTGCTACAATCCTTGGTGGTCCAATCAGATGAATTTCTCTGCAATGCCGGAAAAGCTTGGYGCTAGAGTTGAATGGCCTGATGAAAACAAAATTACCAACATTAGACTTAATTGGATTAGACTAGTAAACATTTGTCATACTAAGGAAGAATGGATGGTTTGTGCTGCAAATACACTGCCTCCTTATTCCTTTGGTTGTAGGTTTAAACCACAGATAGAATTTCCATCACATGTGAGTAAGTTTCTTGTTGGTTCTCTCCTGTACTTCAAAGGTTGTTTTTCTGGTTCTTCTTCCTCTAGCCCTCGACAAAAATCAACTTCTAAATTCCTATTTGATATTGAGGGACACACTTTTGTATGAGTGTTTAATGATAATTTTCTGGCAGTACTAACCGAAGCCCTCGTCGTTCTCGAGTACATGTGCTCCAGAAACAGTGGTACAAACCATCCTCTGTAAAACAAGTAGACAAAATTAATGATTCAATCTTCTACAGGAACTATATAATATCTTGTTTATTTAGCACCTATTAAACAGGAGGGATTGCACAAAGAAGCCCCCCCCCCCCCTCCCAAGCCCCCTTGCTTGTTGACTATCTCCTGTGCTTCGAGGGTTTTTCTCAGGGCATTCCAGTTTTCCACCCTCCACAAAAATCAACTTCTAAATTCACCTTTTCGGCRCTAGCCATCACATGGTATAAATTGTGATAGTGATAGCCGTCACATCGTAAACACTTTGTTGGATTGTGTTACGAAAACAAAGAAGTTTGGACATCGTTCTCGGGTTTCCGTACAAATGTACTGATTTAAATGAACTATTTACTTGGTTTGTTTAGTAAGTTCTCTAAATATAAGTAAAATATATCATTTTTCTTGATTGAAGCTTTTCTTATTGCTGTTAAGAGAGCTAACTAAAGAAATCTATCTAAATTTTCTCTTTAACGTCAGTGAATTTGTATGGGAATCCGAGAACAATGTCCGAACTTTTTGGTGACCGTTACGCAATCCAACAAAGTGTTTACGGCGTGACGGCTATCACCGAAAAGGTGAATTCCAATTACATGTAGAATCCAATGGAAGAAGAGCCACTCTGTGAAACCACTGTTAATTCCCATTTATTACTTACTCACCAGCTTTCTTAAGATGGTTATAGCTGTCCAATACATGTACTCTCAAGTCTTGAAGATCCTCATACTGATAGTCACATCCACGCCACATGCAGTCATACACAAACATACTACTGGATAACTGTTGTGATCTGTGTGAACTCTAATATTAAAACACAATAAGAAATAGGATAGATCAGACCAGGCCTTGTAACATCATATGACCAAGCTGGTAGTGTATACTTTTATGCAACTTTCTATTCACTGTTCTCATAATGGCTGACGAGCGCAGGTAAACGAGGCCACCCAGTTATCTTGCAAGGCTGAGCAAGGCTGCTCATTCAAAATAAAGGCGGATAGCACAAATTCAGGTCCAAAACAAAAGGCCAATTTCTATACTTTTCCTCTATAAGCGCATTTCATGTGCTTTTATATCTTTTATTGTGAACTAATGACCAGGTGACCTCATTTTCGTGCAATTATCAGCCATTATGAGAGTGGTGTATAATAGGGATTTAAGGCTTGCTCAGAAATTTGGGTATAGATGTTTTGTCTTCATGTTTTTCTAAGACAATAAAAAGTCAACCTCATCACTGCAAGCCCTAAAAGCAGAAACTATTTCCTTAGATATTATTAGAAATTATTTATATTAACTATTGCTTGGAAATCTATTTTCTAGAGCTGTGCTGGTGAAATTCTACTGAACCCTTCCATTTTAAATACTCATAATTACACATATAGCATGTCCTTTGGTTTTTACTAGGAAGAAATATCTAATCCAAAAATAAAAAGGACAGCTTTATCCATCCCCAAAATAACACCATGTCTGAAGAGAAGTGCAGCTTGTACCATCAACATTGAGCCAGAAATGAGCTATAACCAAACTAAAACTAATTTGATCAGATGACCAGCGACAGCTCTGCAATTATTTTAAGCCCTGTACAGACACACCCCATTCATTCCCCACTTTTAGTCTGGTATAAAACTAATGTACTATAACTTAAACTCAGCTCCCACCCCTTCCTGTTTTCAAGTGTGGTCTTCCATCCTTGACAAAGTGTATTTTACCTCATCTACTTGGCTTAGCTGTAGCTGGGCCTTGGATTCATACTCTGCCTTCACTGCTGCAGTTGCATTACGCCACTATTTGACAAAAAAAGTACAGTATATATAAATACAAATCACTTTATAGTTGTACAGTAGCTGGGAACACTATAATAGGTTTTAGGAGTATGGCCTTGTGGAGAAATTCTTGCCCAAACCATTTCTGACAATGTAATTATAGGTTAGTCATGGGTTTGATTCCCATCAGGGACTGATTTCCCCCGAGATTTTCCCCRAGATTTTTCCTGAGTTACTTTCACCTAGAGACAATTGATAAATGCTTTCTATACTATAGATGTTTTGTATCAACCACTTTATACTTTTTCTTAACCAAGCTTTCGGAGATAATTCTCCATCATCAGGGTATTGAAAAATAATAATAGAGTTGGAGGTAAAATCAAAAAGCATAGAACACAGTAACTAGGTGAAAAAAACAGAAACAAACAGTCCAACATACGAATACTTGCGCATGCAACATAAGTGCGTGCCAATAAAATTAACAAATTAATATAAAGAACACCCCAAAAAATTAATTAAATGAATAAATAAATAAATACAAAACAACTATAATAATGAAACCTACGTACGATAATATACTTCAAAAATTAATAATTTCTATACTATTTTCCTAGCTCAGTATTCGTACTAATTATTTGGATAAGAAACTAGCTAAAGGTGGTTTCAATGATGATATTTACCTCTTCTCCAATAACCCGGCTGATCTCACCAAATACATACTCAGGGTGTTCTTTCCTGAGTGCTAATCTCTTCTCATAAGCAAACAGAAGGTAGGCAGATTGACTGCGTGGTTTCTTAGGTCTCTGATATAATAATAAAAATAAAAATGCAACAGTTTCTACAAAGAAAATAACAAAGTCTGTAATGTCTTTGAATATCAGACCAAAGACCCCTTCTCACAATCTAATCGAACAGCCCCACTCCTCTACCCCACAAAGCCATCCTGTGCCTCCTCAACACCTCGTTTGAATGATCCAACACACAAACTATCAGTTCAGCAACAAAATGGAATCAAGAGGACGAGGACATAATTATGATCTCCTTTAAGAGAAGGAACAACAGAACTTGTGTCTGACACCCACCCCTCCCTCTATACAAAAGGATGAAGAAAGTTTATAAGATTTACTATAGGGGACCCATAGCCTTCAAATTTTATTGAGACCCTGAAACAACCTCTGAGTTAATCGAAGTCAGGAAAGGGCAAGCTCTCAGACAAATTGGATTTTTTGTGGACAGAAGAATGGAGAATCCTGAGAAAAACCCTCAAAACGTGGGAGAGACCCAACAAACTCTACTCCCAGGTAATGCCAAGTCTAGTAATCAAACCCAAAACCCCTTAGGTGAGAGGAGAGGACCCTATCACTACACTACCCTTGATTTCCATACCTTTCCAGTTTCTGTTGAGTCCAATGCAGCTGCAGGGGAGGTGCTGTGGTTGCCTGCAGCCATCATATCTTGGTCTTCAAACAACAGAGGTGATGGGACCTGTCATGATAAGTAATTAAGGCTGTCAATGTATTTGCTTGTTGGACAGCAGGGTGAGTGATGTGCTTTTTTTCATTTCACTTTTAATCATTTTTAATAATGACTATGGTAGTTAATGGAAGTATTATGATCATCCAGGTGGATGTAGTCCTGAGAAAGACTGTTTGATTTGACTGACATTTCGACAACCTGAGCGGAAGTCATCTTCAGAGTCAAGTGATGACTTCCACTCAGGTTGTCTAAACGTCATTCCCATCAAACAGTCCTTCTCAGGACTACATCCACCCGGATGATCATAATACTTCAATTAACATTCATTCACCTGGGTTCAGACCGTTCTATACAATAATGACTTTGGTGTTAATTTTAGGGATCTCACGTTTTTTGTCAAACCAAAAGAACTCCATCTATATTTATCAGTCTTTACAAAAAGCTTGTTTCACATAAAATTAAGAAGAAAAAAAAAAAAAAAAGATGAAGCACTTGCCTTTAGAGGAGAAATAGCTTCTTCAAAGTAGTAGAACTCTTCTTCATAACAGTTGATAGAAAGGGAGTACCTCTACAAAAAAGAGAAGATTCACATGTTAAAGAACCCACCTAATGTGTCCTTGAAGTCTCATATGAGACTTGGTAGCTCAGTGGTTAGAGCATGGCACCAGAAACGCCAGGGCACGGATTCAAATCAGTTCACTCAAGACTCAGAATTTTTTCAGAGTCTTTCAATTTGCAGTTGCATAAGTTGCTTGATATACTGCAAGGATCAGCTCAATTTAATACATTATAACCACAGTACAAATATATATTTTATATATATATTCTCATACACATATATACCTTGAAGAATTGAAATAATGAACAGAAATGGGAAACTGAAATGGGAATCTACCTTTAATCCCTTGAGTTTACGAAACTGTCCTTCCTCTTCATCATAACGAGCTTCATTCAAATAAATATCTTTTTCTGGTATTTCTGTTGGGCGGCCTGAGAAAAAGAAATATGAAAAATTGGAAATATATTCAGGATTTTCCATAATGGATTTTTTCGTGGTCATCCCCTTTCCCAATGGACAAAAATACATAAATAACCTATACAACATCAAGGCTAAATTTGACTTGCTCCAAGCTGACTTCTCTGAGAGACACAGAGTCATGAGAGAAGTAAGTGAAAAGAAAAAGGGAATAAACCAACAAAAGGTTGATTTGGTCCTCTTTGAGCAACAGGAGGTGAAACTGGGGTATTAATATATATATGAATATGGTATACTCACATCTAACGTAGTCCCTGATTGAGAGAACCATACACTTCCCAACAATGTTGTTGAATGATGAACTCTCTTCCAAGGAGCTCAGGTAGACTTCCTGTTCATGGAACATCTTGGATGGAAGATGTTGAGTCTCACCAGGGCCTATGAACCATGGTCCATGAAGCCATGTGTTGCCACTGAAGCAAGAAAAGAGATTAGAGATGCAAATTATGTTTTTTTTCAAGCTAATTTTGTCCTACAGTTGACTTAATGACTAAGTTGCTAGTGTTCTCCCTACCCAAAACACTGACAGCATTCTAAAAAAGATGTTAGGGTCTTAATACTTTACTATTACTTTTGCTGGTTCTGTTAACTTACTTTTTGTCTGTCCAGAGACGGTCAATCCTTGAAATGTACAAATAATCTTCATCTGATCTCAAGTATACACAGTCACCTGTGGGAGAAACAACAATGAAAATTACTGAGTATTACAATAGATTAAAAAATATGATATTGTATTGATGAGTAGGTAAAGAGAGAAATGAATGAATGAATGTATAGATGGATGAATGAATGAATGAATGAATGGATGGATGGATGGATGGATGGATGGATGGATGGATGAAGGAATGAGTAGTTTGATGAATGAATGAATGTATGGATGGATGAATAAATGAATGGATGGATGAATGGATGANGAAGGAATGAGTAGTTTGATGAATGAATGAATGTATGGATGGATGAATAAATGAATGGATGGATGAATGGATGAATGGATAAATGAATGGATTGGTTGGTTGGTTGGTTGGTTGAAAGATGGGTGAGTTGGTGGAAAAATAGGTTGGTGGGTGGATTAATGAGCAGATGGGTGGATGGAGAGTGGGTAGGAAGATATACGGACAAATGAAAAATGCATGAATGAATGGATAGATGAAATAATGGGTGGATTAATGAGTGGATGGATGGATGGGTTGGTTGGCAGATGGATGGATAAATGAATAAATGGATGAATATCAACAAATGAAAGGATGGATGACTAGATTGATGGCATAGATGGATGAACAAAAGAAAGATTGGATAAATTGCTGGAGCTGGAGTATGGATGGATTGATAGGATAAAAAAATAAAAAATAAATGGATGGCAGGGTGGTTGGGTACTTACCTAATTTATAAGACACATCCCCAAGACAGAATTGCTCATAATAAACACATCCCATTTCTGCATTGGGATAGTTCTCAAGAACTACATTCTATCAAACAATCGATAAATATATATTTAGCTGCATATAACTATATGTTCATCTTTACAACAGTAAGCTAATCAAAATAGGTTATAACTGAAGATGAAACGTGCAAGTGTCTCATAAACCTCATYATGCTAGCTAATGGCATGCGGTATACTAATAACTGTATAAACAGGCTTGGAGGTTGTATTTACCTTACTGAAGTCTGTTTCCAACTCATCACTCTCATCAGTATCCATAGCTTCTGCTAGCTTCTGTTCTTTAGATGCAAAAACAGATGGCACCCTCTTTGGGATGAGTGGAGTTTCTCTAGCCACCATGCTTACCTGACTACCATGTGTTGGCCACACCTTTAATAAGAATGAGATTAGAATGAAGAGCAAGTAAAGAAAGCAATGCGCAGTATATATTGTAAGTACTCAAACTAGGTACCTTGATCTTCTTGAAGGCTTTAGTTCTTACAGAGTATCTTGATTCACAGACATAAACATCCTCATCTTTGAAATTCTGCATCAAAAATGAAGTAAATGAATGAGGATGAGGCTGAATTAAAGGAAAAATGAATAAACAGCCAAACGAGATAAGGAAGGGAGGGAGGGAGGGAGGGAGAGAGGAAGGGAAGGACAGAATGTGGAAGGGAGGGAGGGAGAGAGGAAGGGAAGGAGGCAGAGAGGAAGGGAAGGAGGGAAAGAGGAAGGGAAGGAGGGAGAGTGGAAGGGAAGGAGGGAAAGAGTAACTAAATATATTGGTCAAACAGCTTGATGTTCAATGCAGAATACCTTTGGTTTCTGTTTCAAATAGTCCTTGACCATCATGACATGGCACTTGCCAAGTACTTTGTTCAGCTTTGACGGTGAGTAATAATCACTTTTGAATACTTCCTAAAAGGAGAAGTAATGAGAAGGTTAATAAATAAATACAGTAACTACTAAAATGATAATGATATGCTTACAATATATATTAAATCAAATAAGTGTTTGTGGATTGTAGTAAGACACATAATGAATAAATAATCTTCTTCGTCAACCCAAAGCTTTGTAATGAAACAATATTCTTTGGTCGATGAAGCAAATAGTATATATTCATTATAATATATTTTAACACAAAAGGTACTTGCAATAAACAGTTATTAGTTTTTTGTTGCTAATGGCTAGGTGAAGGCATATAACCCGTGAAATAAAAAATACTAGTAACATGTAATAGTCAAATAGACACAAAAGAAGATAATAGAATTAAGGTTTACTAAAGTTTATTAGTCTAATATCTATTTCACAGGATTAATGACTTCACTCTAATTCATCCCTGCCTAAAATCAGTACTAAATCGTTGCTAAATATGTTCAACTAAATGATACTCTTTTCAGCCATACCTTTTCCAGGAATTTTCTAGTTGCCAAATGGAATGTTTCTTCTGGATGGTAATACCAGTTACCGTACAACCACTGAAAAACAAACACTCAATGTTACTAACCCTGAACAACCAATATATAGAAGAATCAATATAAGGGAATGACAAAGAATCAACGGTGCAACAATTAAGCCATTGATCATTAATTCTATTAACTGGACCTGAATGTTAAAAATAGTGTTGCTGTGTTGTATTAACTACACATTCTATTTACCTTTTCTCCAGTTGTGTCTGTCCAAAGCTTCTCAATCTGGACCACATGAGGATGGAGTTTCTCTTCTCTGATAAAAAATGTATAAAGGTATGTAAATGCCACTACCTAGGAATACTATAAGCGATGACCAATCCAAGTGGTTGGTAATCATGTACTTCATGACCAGCCAACACGTGTCGGTCGACTATCGCCCTACTGTTGGTCGACAGTAGCCCAACTGTTGACCAACACTTTCCCAGCACTTGACCATCACTTGACCAACAATTCACTACAATCGTTTTGCCTACATGTAGTTTTGCCTACATGTAGTTTTGCCTACAGAGGTATCTTATCAAATGCTTTATGATAAATCTTACCCCAGTGGTTACCCAAGTGGTGGGCTGTAAATAAAGTGGATATAGATGCTGTCATGGCTGCCAAACTTCTATAGAGGCTTTAAACCATCATGTGATGGCAGCCATGACAGGAAGCACAACAACAGTTCTCTTTCTATGAGAAACTGAATTCTCTCTAATGTAAGTCAGATCAGACCAGATTCAATTGTTTCTGCCTCCTGTCACATTAGCTATCATCTGATGGTGCAAAGCTGCTATGATCTGCAACTAGTTAGGCTACAGCCCTCTAGTCACTCCCCCTGCCTCTCAAATAACACATGGCAGCTCTTTATTCCCTGAGTCTCTCCCCACACAAAAATCTGAGCTCTGTGCTTCCTCATAAGAGACAAATACATACTCATAGTTACCTTGGTTCAACATAAACAAAATCCCCCACAGAGTACTGTGTTTCACCCAAAAACAGTTCTTTCACACCAGATTCAGCAGTAGATTCCTGTGAAACAATAAAAGAAAATGCTTTTCTTCTAATACATATGACTGCATAGATCTAACTTTGAGATTTATAGTCTATACTTGAGGACAAAAACCAGGATTTTACATGCAGAGGTGCCGAATACCAGGTATTAATAATTATGTGCTTTCTCATGCAACAGTCAAACAAAGAAAGGATACTCAAGGGAATGAAGTGTGGTCTGTGATAGAAAAATATTATGTTCAAGCAGAAAGGGTCTGCCCTCATCCCTAATCAAACAATATTTGTTGACAACCTAATGACCTGCAACATCGTAGTACTACACCTTTGCATTACCCATTTCATCTTACCATTCCCATTTCTTTGTCATCCTTCTTCTCCTGAGCTTTCAATTTCTCATCTTCCTGCGCATCRATCTCTGCTTTCTTTTTTCTCTCCTCGTCAAGCTCCTGGACAAGGTGACGCCTTGTGACAAGAAGAGCTGGAGAAATGAATCTTTCACCATCCTTGCACATCTTGTCCCGAAGTGTAACAAAGAAAACTTGGAGTTCAACAGCATCGTCATACATCTATGACAAAAATTGTAGAAATTTGGTATTATAAAGGGTGGCATGGGTGGCGTATGCTGCTAATGCATTATCTTTCATTACTGTGAGGCCAACTGGTCGGGTCGTTGGTTCAAGCCCTGCAGAGGCCACATGTGGATTGAGTTTGAAGATGCATTGTTCTCTCCCATGCCAAGGGTTTTTCTCCAGGTTCTCCTGTTTTTCCCCCTCCGTAAAAATCAATATGCGAGTCGAGCGTTGTGTGCATAAAATAGTAATTATCGTAGTGGTAGTGAGTGTGAGTGAAAGCAGGCCCAAATCAGTGAAAGCTGCCAAAATATTCAGCCTGCTCTAACAACTGAAAGATGATGATGATGATGATGACCTACCTCACAGTCTGATCTGCTATTCTTTCTTACTTTCTCAAAGATAGCAAATATATCTTCTTGAAGCTTGTCTAGTCTTTTGTAAAACCCCTAAAAATTGAATGAATTCATTTTCATTATTTGTTTTTCTTACTTCACGCTAAACAAATTGTATTGAAAGTACTTAATAAGAGCCTTTTTGACCACCTCTGGAATACTCCCCCCCCCCTTCTGTCACTTACATCAACAACTCATACTTACATAACCACTTACATGCAGCAACAACAACAAAGCAACAGCAACAATAATAGGACCAACGACAGCAGCAATAAAAACATCAACAATAGGATCAACAACAAGGCAACAACAACAGGATCAACAACAATAGGATCAACAACAAGGCAACAACAACANCAACAATAGGATCAACAACAAGGCAACAACAACAGGATCAACAACAATAGGATCAACAACAAGGCAACAACAACAACAATAGGACCACCAACAGGAGCAATAGTAATAATATCAACAATAGGATCAACAACAAGGCAACAACAACAGGATCAACAACAATAGGATCAACAACAATAGGATCAACAACAATAGGATCAACAACAATAGGATCAACAA